TCTTTGACAGGATTTATTAATTCAAAAAGAAAATAGTTATTAAAAAGATAAATTAACTACTTAAGATCTGAAAGGGCGGCTTGTGTAGCTTAACACTTTTCTGTCTGCTGCAAAGAAGCATGTTTGATATTTGCTGTTTGGAAGATGATAGACTGAAGTTGCTTTTCATAGTTTTTTGTTTTTCAAAAGCTTTTCTTAAACTCATTTAAAACCTCTAGTTATTCAGGCTGCATTTACTACATTTCACTCTAACTAGCAGATTGTTTTCCCCATCTTCTCTGATAGTTGAAGTATATGGCAAATGATGTCAAAATTAAATACACACTTAGATTAAAACCCACACCATCTGATTAACTCAATTTTTAATATTGCTCACTTTATAAATGTTTAAAAGCTTCTACATAGCCACAAATGTAGAAATGTACATAATGTTTGCAGCACCTTTACTGCTTTTGCCACAGGGAATTAAGTCTGGAAATTGAACTCAGGTATCATATATATTGTTTCATCTTTCCCAAAACTGCGGTGCTTGCAGATTTTTTTTTTTTTTTTTTTTAGCATTATAACAACTCTGGTCCTAATGGTATCCCAATCATGCATTAATAAACTGTTTACATTATTTCATCTGGCACTATTCATTGTATATCTTGGCTTAAATAGGGCAAAGAAGACCCAAGCCATAAATGTGAGAAAATTACTGCTCTTTCCAGTCAGATTTGAAGTATATAGTGGATATCATTAACTCTACTAAGACTTAGTATAGTTATTACTACTTTATGCTCGGAGTTCTAATAAATCTGTACATAAAAATATTTTTTTCACTCCATTTAAATTCACTTCATTTTCTTATTCTAGCCATATAATTGAATACCTACAAACATGATTTCTCTTTACAACGTAGGCTGCTAGATTCCAATCTTTATCTCCAGTGATCTTTAATAAATCAAACTGTTTAACTTTTCATTAGCCTATAAGTCTCAATGCCTGATTGTCCGAAAACAAAATTAGAAATCTGTGACTTTTGTTCTTGTGGTCCAGGCCTAGCTTTGATGAATGTGCTTTAAATTAAATTAATGGAGATATCCTACCTCCTAGAACTGGGAGGGACCTTGAAAGGTCATCGAGTCCAGCCCCCTGCCTTCACTAGCAGGACCAAGTACTGATTTTGCCCCAGATCTCTAAGTGGCCCTCTCAAGGATTGAACTCACA